CAGAAGTACATACTGAGCTGTGTAGAGGATCTGTGTCATCGTAGCAATGAATTGGAGAGTTCAGAAGATGTATAAAAGTCAAGTTGTGAACACATCTGGACTTGAGACACTCTGTGCCTGGCATGAAGACGCTTCAACAAGGAGACAGGAAACAACAGACACGGGCATATGATGTGGACTCCTAGTCTCTTACATGCAGGCAAGACTTAAACGCATTTCTGTGCAAACTCTGCAAACCGAAGGGCAAGGCAGGGGGGAGGGACAGGTTTCAATGCCAACTATAAGCCCATATTTTCACTATGTTTGGTCAGCAAGGCCAGCACGTGGACTAGGGGTGGGCTGCGAGCAAGTGCACTGTGGTGAAATGTGGTGTCACTCACTGTCTGCTCTGGCAGAGGTGATCACAGCAGGCCTGTGTGGACCCACCAGGCAACATCTGCAATCAGAGCACAGGAAGCAAGTGTGCTCACCTGACTGGCTTTGGCGTTGACGTCCCGACAGCCGAAGAGTTCTCCACAACCGCATGTCCTTTTCTGCCTCCACGGCAGCAAGGGCCGCAGCATGATGGGGTATACCCCGCTTTTGTTCTGGTGATCCACATTACACACATGCTGCAAAGAAAGAGTCTATTAAGGGCAGCATCCTCCCTAACAGCAGCTGCACACAGGGACAGAAGGTATGTGTTTAGAAGAGCCCAGTGAAATGGCACCAGGTAGTCAGAGAATGACTTAGGAGAATGTGAAGAATGTTTCAATGCCAAACAAAAAAATTTTTTTTCCGAATATCATGAAAGAGAACCAAACTTCTACGCACGTTCGTGGTGACTTGAACTGCAACAAATCTTGATGTCGTGAGGCTGTTCCTAATGTAATGCCAATCTTGGAGAATAACATATATTAATCTAGGCAATCAGCTGATTTAGGAAATCACTGTTTTGGAGTGAAGGCAGACATTGAAGTAGCCACAGATGAATAAGGGTTTGTAAGGCTTGTGTGAACACTGAGTATGTTGTTATCTACTTAATTCCAAACACTACTCATTCTGAGATCCTGAGTTTATAACTCTGATTCGTGCAGCGTCTGTAGAGCCAGAAATTCGCAGGTCACTAAACATCTAGCTCCAGGATTTGTGGTCCTGAGAGTGAATGCCATGAAAGTCCACTCCTAAGAAACAGCCAGGGCTGGACAGACGCAGTGAACCAGACCTCTTCTATTCCCCTAGTACATCTTAAGGAGTCTTCAAGGGCGAAATTATCCTTTTAGGCATTTTAAAAGTTCTTTCACACTCCTTCTATGAATATGGAATGTTGTAAGCACATTTAAATGTGTGACCAGTTAAAACATTTAAGAATGTTTTTTTACATAAAGGAGTAAAAGGTATCATGAAAATTTACCTTAAGATCCCAAGCAACTGCATACCTAAGTGCATAATGGTGTTTAAAAGTGCATATTTTTATGTAAAAAATGGAAAAGAAAGGCTACAGAAGCAATAAGTAAATGTGCTCTTTGAAGCTTCACAAATGGTGAAGCATCTAGATTCATATTTTATAGAGCCAGAATCCAGTGTATTAATGGCAAGCAATAAAAATTAAGTAACATAAGTGATTAATATCATTTAATTTGCAATGAGTTGATCCACCTAATTTCCAAGAGTATATTATAAATTGTTCCTTTCAGAAGTAATACTGCAATCCTATTTCCCAGCTTCCCTGGCTGGATATTATCCACTTCTGTTTAACAATACTTGGGCGACATTATCCCGCTCTATTTAATGTCTGGAAAGTCTGAAGGGAGAAGTTAAATTCTTCCTGTAAGATGGAAACCGTTATACCTCTAACCACAGCCCCTAAATAGGGAACAAGCCAAACTTAGAGGAGAAAGAAAAGTCAATCTGTTTGAACTTCTTCTCTGCATTAATCCAAAATCCCAAAGCAGAGTAGAAAAACTGGACAGGACAAGTTCAGGAAACTGGACAGTTTTCTTGCGTATTCAAAATCAGATGTTCACCATTGTATCTCATTAACACATTAACTGCCATGTGAGTGTGTATTAACTCATGCTAGTTTTGAGCCGGGGCTTGTGAAACATATGTAAGGCATATGGTTGTGAAAATCTTGTTGATGTTCTGTTACCAGTTGATAATTTCAATGCATATAACTCAGACATAGAAAGCAATAAAAAATAACAAATTTTTCATTAAATCAGAAAAAAAAAAAAGAAAAATACCTTAATTGAATATTTTCAAATTGTAAGTAGTATTTGCCATAGTAAGAACACAAAATGAAGATAATTAGGCAATATCTCCTCACTTATCTCTCCTCTCCACCCCCATCCCTCCAAACACTCCATGATTTAACCACTATCAACTGAGCTTAGTATGTATTCATTACAGTATATACTAAGTTTATTCCTACACCATACAGCAGTTATGATAAAGTTTAATTTAAATTAGGTCCAGTAATAATTAACAGCTAATAATAAAATAGGACAATTATAACAATACATCTGGCAATAAAGTTACGTGAATATGGTCTCTCTCTCAAAATATCTTACTATACTGCCTCCACCTATTTTTGGAGGGCAGTTGACCATGCGGTAACAACCATGGAGAAGCAAAAGGCAGATTGAGGGGGACTACTCTATATTGTCAGGTAAAAAAACAAATCTCATTTAGTAAGGACTTTATTTGAAGGATTATTGCGAGTGGGATGGGGTGGGTGGAGGGTTACTGTATTAGGAAGAGACTTTCCCAGGTTCTTTTGAAATGGAATGAAAGGATGGCTTGACGCATAGCTGATCCGCAGAGTATTTCTTTCTTTTTCTCTTCTCTTTTCTTCTTTCTTCTCTTCTTTCTTCTTCTTTCTCTTCTTCTTTTCTTCTTCTTCTTCCTTCTTTTCTTTTCTTTTTTCTTTTTCTTTCTTTTCTTTCTTTCTTTCTTCTTTTCAGACAGAGTTAGCTTTGTTGCCCAGGCTTAGAGTGAGTGCCCTGGCGTCAGCCTAGCTCAAAGCAACCTCAAAACTCCTGGCCTCAAGCAATCTACTGCTCTAGTGAAGCTGGGACTACAGGCATGTGCCACCATGCCCGCTAGTTTTTTCTATGTACTTTAGTTGGCCAATTAATTTATTTCTATTTTTATAGTAGAGACGGGGTCTCGCTCTTGCTCAGGCTGGTTTCGAACTCCTGACCTCTAGCAACCGCCCGCCTCGGCCTCCCGAGTGCGAGGATTACAGGCGTGAGCCACCACGCCAGCGATCCCAGAGTATTTCACCTGGAGGCCAGCCTGTTCTCAGGAGGGGTTTTGCGCTGGCTCAGGCTGAGGGTGGGTTAAAGTTCAGAGGCCTGGGAGGAGAGAAACTTAATCAAAATTTGTTAACAAGCATCCTATTGGTCAGTGGGATAAGCAGCAGGTCAGTCAATTATTTATGTGGCAAAGAATGGGAGTTTGGGATCTGTGGCAGGCCTCAGCCTAGCTAAACAAAGGGGTATCCTTGGGGGCTTTTCTAAGTCCTAAGGAGAAGGTGTTTCTTTGCATTTTGCTATTTACAGGAACACAAAAGGTGGGCACGACCCTAGTCTCAGCTACTTGGAGGCTGAAAGCTGGAGGATACTAGACCTAGAGCCCAGAGTTCAAGGCCAACCTGAGAAACATAGGAGACCTTATCTCTTAAAAAAAAAAAAAAAAGAAAAGAAAAAGTAAGAGGTTTGTTAATCATCATTTTTTCAGTGTTTTCCAGGAGTACAGGACTCAGGTAACATTAAACATTGTCAATATGCAGAGTTTAATGAGTTGTTTGCTTTACACAACTGAGATATTAAATGTGTTTCTAATGTCCTCCTGTTTCATGATGTGGTTGTACCATAATATTCAATATTTGGTCCTCTATGGATGACCATGTCTTGGCTTTCAGGGTTTTTTCCCCCCTCCCCCATTTCACTTCAACAATTAAAAAAAAAATCATTTCGTTTAAACTTTGTGCTTCCTGCAGCTGCTACATTTGGGATTCCTAAAAGCTACATTTTGTTTTCAAAAACCAATTTTTTTTTTCTTGGAATCTTCTTACAGAACTGCCAACTGGTCTGCATAGACGGTCTTCTCAAACACAGATTTATGTCTTGTCCCCATCCCACGCCCCCACCCCGGAAGGAAGGTGACTAGGAAAAAAAAAACGGTCCCAACACCTTTTCTTTTGTCTTCCGCGTCTCCTTTTCCAGAAGCAGGGGACCAACCAGACCCGGCCGACTTCCTTCTGTCTGTGACACTCAGGAACTTTTCGACCCAGCTCTCCGTCCCTCTTGGGTCCGCGGACGCACGGGAAGGCGTGGCCCGATTCAGGGCACCCCGGCCGGCCTCGGCCGCCTCCCGGCCCCGCGGAGACGACTCCGAGCGCTGACAGCGAGCCGAGCGCGCCGCGAGGGGGAGACGGGCCTCGCTGCGCGCCGCCGAGGCACGCGTTTGCACGATCTGTTTAGGGTCTTACCTGTGTTTTGCGAGGAAAAGAAACAGAACTGAAGCGTCTTCGGTTCTTCTAGACGGGGCTGTCTCGCATCCGCCAGCCCGAGGGCGGGAGACCTGGAGATGGGGGAGGAGGGCTCAGCCGGTCCTCCCAGTTAGCCAAGTTCGACTTCTACGGTCGGGACACCCTGGGACTCGGCCACGATAACCTCGTGTCGCCTCATTTGCTGATTTCAAACGAGGAACCATAAAACCCTGAAATGCACATTGGCTGCCGCCCAGCACCGAGGCTCGAGCGCCAAGGCGGAGGAGAGAACTGCCCTTTCTCCTCTTCGGCGCCCGGAGGTGCCAGGCTGCGACCTGCGAGCGCACGGTCTGGCCGGTAGGGCCGCGCGGTTAATGATTGGCGGCAGAGGCGGCGCGGCCGCGGAGCGAGCGGCACGCTAGCGGGAGGGCCGGGGAGCGACCGCCGCGCAGGCCGAGCCCAGCCGAGCCCCCGCCGGCTGCCAGGCGCCGCCTCTCGTCTCCCGGGCCCCGGCTCTTCGGGGGGTTCCCGGCCCGCATGGAGGCGGCCTCGCCGGCGGGACCCGAAGCCCCGCGGCCTGCGGCGCAGGGAGCGGAGGGCGCGTCCCGAAGCCTGTGGCTCAGGATACAAGGCAAACTCTTCACCTGGTGAGCGGGCGCGGCGCGGCTGGGGCGGCGGGAGCCGGCGGGCAGCGCGCGGGCGAGCCCTGCAGGCGACCCGGCTCGCACGTGTCTGCGGGGCGCGTGCACGGGCGGCCCGGGCGGGGGGGGCAGAGGTGGCGGCTGCACGGACTTCGGTTCAGGGGGCTCAACACGTGCGCAAGGGATGGTGCGCTTCACTTGGCCTCTGGAGGCACTTCGTGCACCTCCCGCTCGGCTCCCTCTGAAAAATCCTGGCGATGTATTGCAGAGGGTTGGGGAGACATCTACGCTGTTGGCCCTGTTAGGTCGGTCCCCAGAAGCCTCCCGGCGGGGAGGGGGGTGAAGTCCCCGGAGACGCTGTGAAGAGGGGTGCCCACCCTTGGGCTTGGCGGGTGAACGCACTCCACTTCCCGGCGCCCGCGCCCGCGTTCCTTCTGCTGCGCAGCTTGTGACACCGGGCCGGGTGATCCTCCACTAACACGAGTTCACCCAAGTGAGAAATCCGGGTTGAGTTTTGTGCTGCTGCCCGGCGGGAGACTCCTGGGCCAGAGTGAGGTGCCATGGCCACCTCCAGGGCTGGGGGCCAGAGAACCCTGTTTCTGGTGTCATTGGGTGTGATCTGTGGAAAATAGGGAGGCGTGTTCTTAAGGGATTGGCGGCAGCTCTGGGGACAGCATTTCTGTGTTACTGGAGGACTTACGGTTCTGGAATTAGAAAGAACCCAGGACCTAAATAGTGAAAGCCATTTGTTGCGCATTCATTCTGTGCGAGGTATCATGCTTATCAATTTATATGGTTAATATCCAATCCTCGCCACTTTAGGAGAAGGCGCTACTGTTATACCCACTTTGCAGATGTTGAAACACAGAAAGCTAAAGGAATTTGCCCAAGGCCACGAGATGATCTGTAAGGGGTGGTCGTGCTTGCAAGCCCTAAACTGCATTCGGTACTGGCACCTCGTGAAACAGGCATTTGATTTTTTTTAATGTTATAAAAGTGAATTTCCTTTTAAAGATTGTGAAAGCTGCGCCTTGAAAAAGCTGTATACCATTTTAAAAACTAGATCGATAAAAGTGTATGCGTTTTTGTCATATAAATAAGTATAGTTTTAAATAGAGATGCATGTGTTCAAAGGAAAGTCGGCCAGAAATCACATTTACTGTCCACTTGTGTATGTCCTGATAAATTTGCGGTGAGATCTCAGCTGGGAGGCAGTGTTGTGTAATGGTTAAGGGCATAGACTCTGGACTCAGATCCTGGCTGGGTGTGACCTTAGGCAAGCCGCTTCTCTGTGCTCCAGTTTTCTTATTTGCAAAATGGAGAATATAACAGTACCTACCTTGTAGGGCTGATGTGAGGATTAACTGGGTGACTGCACAGGAGTGGGCAGACAGAGCCTGGCTCATTTCAGTGTTCTGCATGGGTTAGTTGGTTACCATCAGCTCCGTTCTTGGGTGATGGGAACACGTAGTGATGATTGCTTAGGGAGATTGTCACCGTCCTGTCCATGGGTGGACTTTAAAGTGTTCCGACAGTTCTTGGGCTCCTGGCTTGGAGGAATCCCAAGCCTTGACCCACACAGGGGAGGGAGATGACAGACACTCAACAAGTATGCATGAAGAATTTATTGTAAAGAAAGTTAGTTACTGTAAGGAAAGGGTGCAAAGCGAAAGTGCATTTCCTAAAGGGAAATGGGTCTGTCTCCGGGAGTGGAGAAGACACTATCTTGTTATGTTTTTCCTTTGATAAGCTAGTAATATATGTTGATGTAAAGGCCAGTTATAATTACTTATGATTATATGTCACACGTTTTGGGGTCTGGATTTTTCCAGGTATGAACATAACTTAAAGGTTATGTTCCAGGCATTCTTTTCTCCTGTAAGTGTGATGGGGAAAGTCACCATTTATGGTGGAATTCTGGTTGGTGGTCACTGTTCTATGGTCTAATCAACCTATTCGTTAAGACTGAAATAACTGTGTATCCCTGGTTATTTTCTGTAACTATTTCCTTCTTATTGTTTCACTGTTTCCTCCTTCTTGTTTTTCTGCCTTCTATAAGTCCATCACCTCTTGTTTTTCTGTCCCTAACAAGATGCCAGCAGCCCTGAGGCTGGGGCAGATGATGCTACTGATGTCAGTTCAGCAAGATATAATGAGAATTAGCAACAAATTTTTTCCTCCTAATGTCTTAATATTTTCCAAATCCTGGTATGTTTTATAATCAGGACTGTCTAGTAGGCTCCTAAGTATGAGATTTCTTCTGTTTATTTTATTTATTTATTTATTTTTGAGACAGTGTCTTACTTTGTTGCCCGGGCTAGAGTGCCGTGGCATCAGCCTAGCTCACAGCAACCTCAAACTCCTGGGCTTAAGCAATCCTTTTGCCTCAGCCTCCCGAGTAGCCGGGATGACAGGCATGTGCCACCATGCCCAGCTAATTTTTTTTATACAGTTTTTTTTAGTTGGCCAATTACTTTATTTCAATTTGTAGTAGAAATGGGGTCTCGCTGTCATTTAGGCTGGTTTCGAACTCCTGATCTTGAGCCATCCTCGTGCTTCGACCTCCCAGAGTGCTAGGATTACAGGCATGAGTAGATTTCTTCTGTTTTTGAACAGACTTTTTCTGTACTTCCCTAAGGGGTTATTCTTTTCTTCTTTGTGTGGTAGCTATCTGTAGGCCTTCTACATTCCCCATGGACAGAGTTCTTTAACAGCAGGATTCATGTCTTTTTTCATTTTTCAATGAATGTAATAATGAATGAGTGAGTGAGGATGACAAAGGTTCTTGTGGCTTCCTTTCCATTTTGTCTCACTCCTTGAACTCTTCCCTTTATTGGTCTTTATTCCAAAGGTCTTCCTTCAGTGGAGGTTCTTGTTTGGTTGGCTGGACTCTTTTTCCTTAAGGTTTCCAGTCCTGCCTCTGGCAACCGTCCAGGCACTTGGACTCTAGATTGCAGTTTCTCCTCATCCAACCCAGCAAACAGAAAAGTGCAGTTTACCAGATACCCAGTACTCCTTATACTCAGTATTTTAAACTCTGTTATTCAAACTCACGTCTCCCAAGTTTGAGTTTAGTTTTGTGAATCCCTAACAGAGGCCACGGGGGGTGGGGGGGTGGAGGGGAGTAGTGGAGTGGAGACAGTTTTGCTGGATGGATATGATATCACCATATGGATAAGATACAGAGGGAGATTGGAAACCACACAGCTCCTTTCTACTCCTGTACCAATAAGGGCAAAGGACAGTCCTTTTGGCAACTCGGTATTAAATACAGGGGAAAAGATTCAGGCCTAGAGCTGGTTCTGTTTTCATTATGAGGAGGATATATTCTAGGTGATCTCAACTCCTGATATACGTGCCTTTCTTAGGGTACAGACAACTTTTCTCTATGATTAAAAATATCAGATCACTTGTTCAACAAAAGTTTATTGAACACTTACTATGCACCAGGCATTCATGATAATGAGCACTATGTGTTCCCAAGTGGACTCTGCTTGTAATTTGGCTTTTGTCATTTATTGCTATCAACTCAAATGAAACATACAGTAACAGAATGCCATGGATTTCCAGGAGTATGTGAAGATGTTTATTATGTAATTGTATACCATCGGGCTGTTTACATCTGACACATAGGCTTTAATTTATTCATATATTTAAAAATGCATGTTCCTTATAACGACCATCAACTTTGTATCTCTAGCAAAAGCCTTTAATTATTATTTCATATATCTATCTTTTCCCCATCAAATAGATGATCAGCTTTTTGAGGGCATAGATTTTATCATATTCTTCTGTAGGATAGTGCTGGATATAATTCATTCATCCATTCTTTCATTTACCAGTCCTTACACATCTATAATATTCTAGGCTCCAGGCTAGTCTTTTTGGCTATAACAATCAATAGGATTTAGTTCCTGCTCTTGAGAAAGCTTATAATCAATTATGGTAAGAAGTTATCATAAGTGTCATAAAAATGAGTACGAAGTTCAGTGATGGCACGAAGGAGGGCAGAGACCAAGTCTACCAGGGTGAGGTAGGGAGCTGAAGGGAGAAGGTAATTGGGATCTTGAAGCATGAAGAAGAGTTTTCCAGTTGGACTAGATGAGGAAGGGTAGACTAGGCCGGGAAGTGCCAGAGAGTGTTTTATTTAAGGCATGGGCTGGAGGAGGGATGAACAATAAGAGTTGGTCAGTCTACACATGCATGCCTTGTTGTAGTCTAGCAAAAGGCCTGGGTTGGCCTTTTGGTTTCTCCTTTCCTTTTTGTTTCCTTCTTTCAAAGGGCAAAGCCCAGACATTTTTTAAGGAGTCATTTAGTTGTGCTTAGCTGTACAGCCTTTATCTGTTCATTTGACAAACATCTATTGAGCACTCATTGTGTGCACAGCGTAAGTCCTCTAAGCTGGTGTGTAGCCCTGCTGAAGGCTATCAGTGTGTAGTGTTATTTAAGCAAAGATGTAAAATGAAGGATTTTCGTGGCTTGTGCAGTTCCCTGGGAAAATCGCAGAACTCTAGATCCTACCGATCTCCATAAATTCTTCCTTCCCACTTTTTACTGTGAGATTATTTAATATCTACCTTTCTACTAGACTCCAGGAGTCAGGAACCGGATCTAGCTTTGGTCACCCTTGTATACGCTGATGTTACAGCGCTGACCTTGCAATAAATTCACAGTAAGTATCAGTTACAAGACTGAACGAATCCCTAATTCCAAATAGGAATTGTATAAAAGATCACATCTCTTTTTTTATATAAAAATTTCCACTGAGCACTATATGTTTATGACCCAGTCAGGTTGTTTTGTTTCTCTAGTCAGTGTTTCTCAACCTCAGTCTTATTGACATTTTGCATTGAATAATTCTTTGTTGGGGCTCTTCTGTACATTGTAGGATGTAGCAGCATCCCTGGCCTCTCCCCGATAAATACAGCATAGCATCCCACCCCTACTCCCACTCTCAGTTATGACAGTTAAAAATGCCTGCAGACATTGCCAGATGTCTCCTGGGG